TGAGTATCTCGAAGGGCAAGGAAAGCTGAAGCAGACATCCAAATCACTTCTTGGGAACTCTCTCATCAGAAGTTTGACTGGTATTGACGCATCTAATACCCATGCAAGCCCCCAGAGACTCAACGGGCATGATTGGATCTCTGAGGAGAGTGATCTAGAGTCAGACGGAGACGATATAAGTTCGATTTCTGGTGGTCCAGTTTCTCCCGTCAAGTCCAGTATTAAACGAACCGTCGTGGATGATGATGCTCTTTCACAAGCTACAACTTCTAGAGAGACAGAACTGCTAGATGATTTCACTGATGAGCAACTTGCGATCGAGCTCCCAAAACTGTCCAAAACCGAATCGCCAGAGATGCTGCTAAACCGCTTCTTTTTGGACCCAGAGCCACTCAACGTGGACGTAGGCCTTTCCAACCACGACTTTGTTGAAATTGCGCAAATCGTCACCGAACAGGCTGCTACCGGGCGACTTGAAATAGGCATCGAGCATAAGGCTGAGTCTTCTGTCTCCCTTGCGACTATGAGGAGCCATGAGCTCAATATTGCTCGGAACTCCTTACAACTTCTTCACGATGTCATGCCTTCGAATTTGGGTACCCCGACGGCCGTGCGGTTGAAGGCGTTGCTGGAAATTCAAGATCTTCCCCTTGTAGGACAACCGAGCCGTCTCCAGCCCAGACCGATTCCGGGCAGAGATCCCAACGCCGAGCAATTGCGCGCAAACAATCTGTACCAGATTCCTGTTCCTCATCTGGAAGTACGCAGATCAGAAACGAAACTCTCAGTACTTCCATCATCAATGTCTTTCTGGGAAGGTCTCGGGCTCTCACCTTCGTGGGGGACAAAGGACATTTCCGCTCTTTGCATCTTTCCAGGCTGGAAGGGGATGTCAGACCATGTTGAAAGTTTCCTCGGTCGCTTGAAGAGTGTATATGAATCGTTGAAACTTGGCACTCTCAACAACCTGCCGTTGTCTGGAGACTGGGACGATGGCGTCTTGCCATATGAGGTTGATAGGATCTCGACTTCACCTGACGCAACCGTAACTGGTCATGGCTCTGCTCTTGTGGAAAGCATGGAAGTGCTCCGAAGCTCTCTGTCAGAGTTAAAATCCAAAGACAAGAATCTGGTCATTTACTTTGTTTACTCGCCAGATAACCCGGCTTCTATCATCGAGGCTTGCACAGCTTTCTACCGCTGCTTTGATGAGTACAGCGACCTCCTAGCAGCTCGTCGAGAATCTCCACAGAATGAGCTGGTGCTGCAGCTTGTCTCATTAGATATGATATCTTCCACAACATCGCTAGTCGTCCCGACTCCCGCAGAAATGACCAAGCTCTGCATAGAGACATATGATAGGTGCACTTTGTTTTTGGACACTGAATTCGGTGGACCTACACCTGCACCGTCAGTTATGCTCGAACAGCCTCCACCTCGGATGATTGACTTCAAGCTCACAACGTCGCCTTCTCAGTCCCTTATGCATGAGAATTCCTGCTTACATGTTGGGTATGCTGAAAGTCTTGATGGCCGATGGATTACAGCTGCATGGACCGACAATCGTGGACAACGACAAGCGACCACGTCCTATTCAATCACTCGGAGCAGAACACCAGATCGTTCCGTCTCCCAACACAAGGCCGCCATCATAGCCGAGATCTGGGCGACTACGTTGACCATGATATCAATCTGGAAAGTTCATTGGCGAGTGATCATCACCAAGTCTGGGGTAATGGACCAGAGAGAGGTGGAGTGGTGGCAAGCAGCCTCAACGCTAGACGACAAGCATTCATTCACCATGATAATCATGTCCGTCGATACCAATCCGTCTCTGCAGCTGGTCCCGCCAATCGTGAAGATTCCTCATGCGGCAACCTCGGCGTTCTACTCGACACCAGTATCCACGCCCCAGGCTAATATTGTTTCGCCGGAGCAAACCACGACTCCGGCAACGCCCATGCGTGATGCTAGCACATTAGCTGCTACAGCGACTGCTGAGGGTGCTGCAGAAGCAGAGGCCGATTCCTTCCTGATTGATGCCACTGACCAGACATGGGGTGCCATCGTCGGACATCGACTCTGTAACTCTACTACGTTACTGGAAGTGAGACCGGCACTTGCCAGTGGGTATTTGATTAAAAGAACAGGAACAAAGCTTGAAGACCCCCCAGTCGTGATGGAGGTCAATCTTGTTCATACAGAGGCTACGCCTAGAGCGTACGAGCCTCTTCTAAGGGAAATGTTGTACTATTTTAGGGGTCTCGGAACCCTGGCCAGAGCACGAGGTGTTGTAGATCGCGAGATGGATGTTCGACCTTGGCATATTGCAGCAGCAGAGAAGGGCGTGCGGGCGCTGCATCTACTATTATGATGATACCGGCATTGGGAGGCGTCGTTATTGGTAGTTGGCGTGTAGATTGTTGGTGTATGGCGTTTTTCTTTGTGGTGCATATTTGCGATTGGGTAGGCTATTTATGATTCGAATACATATCGGCCTTCTGTTGCCACTTTTAAGCTCGCCTCTTGACTATCGGTATCATTATCCAGTAGGCTGTTGATATTAACGATAGTCGAGTAGCCAAGCGGATATGAGAGAATCAAGAACAAAGCGCCATATATTTAACTGTCTAGCAATAACTACAGGTGTAAAACAAAGAGCAGAAAACATAAAAAAAAACACCAGTGTATTATTAAAGCTATGTGTTTTTAGCTTCTAGTGCTCAAGGAATTCCTCGGACTGGGTATCTTACGAGCAAGCCATTGTTATTGAGGAATTTCAAACCAATCTCTCTCGTCTGACCCGTCTTGACCCTTTCGACGCCAAAGTTGTCTCTCAACGTCCCATTCCCAGAAACGATGACCCGGGTGCGTGGCGAAATCGTCGTTCTGAGGCTCATGGGTGGTGTTCTGGTCTTCCATCCATTCAGGGGTACTCGAATGGGTATCTGCTGAAGCTGTGTCTACCAGAGACCAGCCATGAAACTGGGAACTGTGAGAAGGAACTTGAGATGCTTCAGTTGACAACTCCCAGGCAATGTTATCACTAGGGTCGGCCAGACTATCAGCATCCGAAGGCTGCAGTGAGGAAGTACTCTCTCTGTGCAATTTGTCGTTGGGCGGCAAGATCCATTTCCCATCTGAATCAGATGTGTTGGAAGAGATATCAACAGAACCGTGCAAGGAGTCAGTGCTGATCTTTGATAGTCCTTCGGGTTGTTCTGGCTCTGAAGCTACGGTTTTGTGGAGGGGGCTTGGGTTTTGGGCTCTTGTGCGGCAGCGAGCCACTAGCTGTTCGAGGGTTTCTTGAGATTCTTGATTCTTGGGGATTATGCCTTGGCTCTTAAAGTCTTCCCAGGTGTTCAATTGGAAGGGTAGGGCTTCCTCTGGACAGGAGGTACTTTCCCCTTGCTCTTCTGGTTTAGATCCCTGGGAATTTGCTGGGGGAGTGAGGTGGACACTCTGGTAAAGTTCCTTAGGGTCATCACCAAGGACGAGGTCTTGCTCTAATCCAGGAATGACATGGACCTGGCTCGTCTCCAAGTCCTGTTCGGAGCCAGATAGAGCCCATGAGATTTCTACCACGGAGGGAAGCCCAGAAGTATGTTTCTCGCTTACTCCCAAAAACTTCTCTGCTATATTTTTGGAGACAAGGCCATAGGCTCTGCCGTAGAGTATGGCACTGATTTGCAGAGGGCTCTGGGACTTGTTTCTTCGTTTGGAGAGGTTGGGATCGTTGGCAGAAACTGGCCGGCAGTTAATGATCACTAGTTGAGTGGAAACATCTGACATGTCTTCGACTTAGCGGGTAAGAGAGTATATTCAAGGTCCTGTTCTGAAACGAGTGAGCAGCCCCAGAGGGGATATGAGGATGGAGGAGGTCCAAGACTTGTAGGAAATATCGAGTGAGGCTCCAATGTCAGACACATCACGGCAGTCAGCAGGGACCGAGGTTAGCAAAGGGAGTGAAATGGACCTTTTAACGTTTGTGAAAATAGAATGAAATTATGGTCAACGACTAGTTCTAGCCAAGTCCAGTATACTGACGCCCGGCAACATAATGAAGGATGCATAACGTGAAGCATTTGGATCAGCATTGTTGTCTTGGAACAAATCAGGCTGAGAGGGAATGGGGAATGGGGGGATTTCCGAATGAGAAAGCCACGTAGTCACCCACCTGTGAGTTGTCACATTCACCGATATCACATTGCATAAATCACATGAGAATGCGGAGCTAATGCAGAGGACGGATTGTGAAATACAAAGCGAGGTGTTCTAGTCCTCGAGTCTGTACTTTCACATAGACAGCGAGACGTCACTAGTGATATAAACCCCATCATCCTTCAGCTTTCAAGAGTTACAATTCCCTAAATAGGGACCACCCTTACAGTTGCCTGACCTATAGAACCCTTGTATATCACCGTGTCTGCCCTGCTGCTGCTATCTTCACTTTGTGATTGTTCAAGTAATGCTTTACTTGGTCGACCTCGGCCAACCACGGCTCGATATCACTCACTGAACCAGTTGACTGCATAATAGCATGGCTAGCATGGCTCCTTGATTCTGCAGCCAGGGTGGGTTGAAAGAGAGTGCCACTTTCTTATAGGTGCACATGGCCCTCCTAGCTACGTTATATCACAACTGTGTAATGGCTCGTCTGGCTGAGGGAGTGTTGTCTTTGTGGTTTTCTCTGCCACTTATCTACCATGTAAATTCCCTTCATGGAACTGCCATCCATGTTCTTGCCGGTACTTTGATGAGGCTCAACGGATCTAGCGTATGATACGACCAGGATTTAGAGCCTAATTTGAGGCCCGACTAATCTACTCTACTGTTCCTCTTCTTCATTTACCTCGCCAGCGTTTGCTTGGGGTCTCAGCGGTGACTTGAGTCTTCTCCCTTCTCTGCTCGCTTGATATTCTTCCAGGTGTTGTCGAAACTCCGACTTACAGTGCATACTTAAACGTCATCACGGCCAAGACAAGTATCGATGCTGCGCTATGCTGGTGCGATCACATTATCCCAAAAAGAAATCGTTGAGAAAAGGTTTTGAGCGTCTCCTGCGTGGACCTCTGGAGAAGCGTGTGAAGCCTTCACGCACTGAACTCCAGAAGGCAGAGAAGGAGAAGAAAGTAAAGGAGAAGGAGAAGGGAAAGTCACATACCCAAGCATCCGCATCATCGACATCGATATCGGCAGCAAAACCTTCGATACCCTCCGAAGTAGAAAGACTCGGAGCCCTGGCTTCGGAAACATATCTGTTACCAGAAACATCGAAACCTCTTTTAGAGAGCAACGTCGAAAGCCCCGTGGTTCAGAAGCAGATATTTATTGGAACACACGACATCAGCGTCGACGAGTCCAACATCACTGCCACCGACCCTCAGGATCAATCTCAGGCACGGACCCTTTATCCTTTGGAATACAACACTCTTACCTCAACTCCCTATTCCGAGCCATACTCGTTACCAATATCAGAGCAAGACATCCAGTATACTGCTCCCAGTTTTACCTCCTCTATCACCTCTGGCTTGGAATTTGATATCAATGACAGCTTTACCCTGCCAGAGTCAACCTTTAGTGCTCCCTCTTTTCAGAGCCCTCTAGTACCAGACTACGACCAAGACTTTGGTAACCACTCCGGCCTTGCTTGGCCTTCAGACATGGGACAAGACATGCAACATGAACTGCCGCCACCTGCCCCCATCTTCTCCCCCTCTTCTTCTGCTGGACAGGATTTGAGTTTAGTCAAAACAACATTTGATGGTGACTATTCAACCCGCCAAGCGGTCACGTTCGATGGCAGTTTGGACTTGAACTTCATAGCCCAAAGTTCTGTCGAAATGCTCCAACGTTCGTCCCCTATACAAGTTATGAGTTTCCCGCCAGGCATCGCCAAAAAGACGAAATGTCCCAGTGGTGCATTAATCGAAATCGAACAGATCCTGTACGCCTGGATAGAGTTCGAGTCTCATCACCTCCCATTCCCACCTACCCGGCCATACTTCGTCGTATACAATGACTTCACAGGCGACGATGGTATTCATATGACCTTGGGCCGTGATTGGGTCAACAAAGTCGAACAGGCCTGTCATCAAAGTGGCTTCCAAGGTCAACTATAGACTCTTAAGAGATCTATTCGCCCCGCGTGAAGCATCAGAGATGAGTGAAGCTTGCGCGCGGTACAACATGGTTCAATTGCAAAATTTCGAACCATGGCCAATCACAATACGTTTTCAGGAACCTCAAGGCCAAATAGCCAGAGGTTCAATAGCAGGCATGGAGATAGCTCGGAGCCATCATTACTCCTAGACCGATCTCCCATCCGCTTTGACGGTCACAAAGCATCAGCTGAATACTCGCCCTCGATTGTCCACAGTTATTGATTCTCTGATTAGATAGAACGATCTCGAAATATCTTCTTGATCCGCGGTTGATCTCTATAACTCAGCTGATGCTTTAGGAACGTTGAAGGGATAACATCCATTCATTTAGCTTTATATCATTTGGTTCCATTCTTTTTACCTGGTCCTTTCTGATTGCAGTCGAGATGTTGCAATCTTTGGCTTTGCCATGTCCAACTCAAGGCTTGTGCCTTACAGAACTTCGTGTCGAAGGATGACGACAGGTTTGTTTTGGATGTTTCCTGTTGTACATGACATATTTATTATATACGGTCTTTGTATCTGCGGCTTGCAGCTTCTATTGCTTGTTAACGGCGGGGAATGTTTTGGCGTTTTTGTAATTCCGGGACGTTGATCGATTACTTGTATGGTTTGAGACACAGAATGAAATATCACCATACAAACATACAAATTCGCTCGCAATTGCAATCAGAGAAATCAAGTTGAAGCGTGCTGAATAGAGGCTAAGTTAATAGGTCTATTCTATAGGTACAGGTAGATAATATAGAGGGGAGTACGTACCTAGACCCGCTATGACACTCTATTTTCAACGACATGAAACTAATATTAGGCAGGCACCACCAGTAAGCAATGGCTGACTCACTGTTAGAGTCGTATAAGTTTTTTTTCCCTCTTCCTCAGTCAAAATCCTTCATATTATAAAACCGAACCAGAACAGCATCAAGATCACTCAGTCTGTTTCTATCAGTTAGAGAGACAGATCTCAAAACTCGATAAACCTGAAAATACTGCTACAGGCCAGATCAGGGTAAAACTGCATCACTTCATAACCACCATCGCAAAAGCATCGGGCGAAATGAAATTATGATGGATAGGACATCTCTGGCAAGTCTTCCAGATGATATTGTTCTAGACATTGTCGAGCATCTCGACACAGCTCGTGACGTAGCTCACGTCTCCGCCTTGACGAAGCATCTTCAAAGCCTCATACGCCAAGATGGTTGGCGTACCTTTGTCAAGACTCGGTTCCCATCCCTGCAAATAGATACAAATTCAGAGACTCGCTGGAGTTCTGTTGCAGATCGTGCAACGTACTTGGATCGCTGCTGGGAGAAGCGCGGTTTCTGGGTCAATGTGTTGCATGAAAAGAAGAATCAGCCGGAAAGATTCCAGCGTCGAGTTGCTGGAAGCCAGTCAGTGCTGTTCCATTCTGTTCTCGATGCGCGGCTTATTTCTTCGCTGAACAACGAGGTTATTGCTGCCGGCGTTGGTGAGAATCTCATGGTTTGCATAAAACCTGTTGATGGACAGCAAGATGCCTGGTATCAGATTGGGGGCCACGATCATGGATATCGGGCGGGCACTGGAGATGTTACAGCAACTTCTGTCACAGAGAATGACGGGATACCCCATATTGTCGTCGGGAGGGCCAATGGAGACATCAGCATACACTCTGGCAAAGACAAGTTTGCAACAATCGCAAAACAGTTGAACCCAACGGACGAGGCACTTCTAAGCCATGCTTCCGATCCTATGAGGAAATCCCCTGGTCAAGTGGCAGTCTCATCTCTACAGTGGCATCCCGAGACGAATCTCCTGGCAAGCGGTAAGGGCTCGGTTTTGACTCTCTACAGTCTTGGTGTGTCAGATGACCAAGTACTGAGCCCTTTGGATTACCATGAATTCTCCAAAGCCAGTCCCGCAGATGAGGCGTCTCTCCTACGCAGCACCAAGTTCATGGGCAGAGATATTTTGGCTTGCGCTTTGGGCGGAACTCGAAATCCTCTGCGTTGGGGGCAGCTTACACCGGCCGGCCTACAATTCTTCAACGCTCATAGTAACTCTATGTACGTAGACGATTCTTCGAGGCTGGTCAGTGGGGGAGTTAGCGAAAAGACCACAATTCGAGCAATCGAGCCAGTTAGAGGCGGAAGTGAAAATCTTCTTTTGAGTGCATGGGACGATGGCACATATCGGCAAGTTTGTCTCGCGAAACTGATGGTTGGCTGTTAACCCCTTGTTCAGACTTGTAGATATCCGAACACCTTCGCCACAAGACGCGATATACCGTGATCGCTTTCAACCCTACCAAGCAGGTAGTTCTCTGCTTGTGTATGGTACAGAGCGTTTCGTATCCGGCAGCAACACAGCACCGGATATCCGTCTATTTGACTTCAGGTACCCAAAGCCATATCATCACACAACTGCTCTCCCGTGCTCGCCACAGTGGCCGTTTCCCAGCCAGAAGGATGATCACATTATGAAGCAAGGATGGGCGCCAGAGCATCAGCCACAGAAATGCGATCCTCAAAACGGGGTGTTGTGTTACTGGCATGGAGCTTCAAGACGAAACTACTGGCGTCCCGATGCCACCATTCATATTGGCAGTCCCACATATGACAGGATCTATTGTCTGGCCAAGGCGTCTGATCTTTCAGATACCATATACTGTGGCGTTCGGGGTGCCATTCTCGAGATGAATCTTCATCTCACGGAGGACATGGTGCATAACCATAACCAACGAACTACTCCCACAGATTGGAGCATGGGAAGACCTGGAGGCAAAATCTCGCTGATCGAGACAGGCGTGAGCCTCACCCAGACGAAGGAATGGTCGCTTGATAATCGCGGTGTACCAGAGCTCATCGTCCAGCAGCCTCGGCCTCGAAAACGAATAGAATTATCAGATGATGAAAAGAGACACCGTTTGGACTATGCGTTTCATAGATGATAGGATTTCGAACACGCGGTCGCATAGAATTAGAGAGAGCATACACATCCATAGAGGAGGCACAGTTTATAGAATCGCTTGCAATTATTCCTTCAGTAAACGTAAACAGCACATCGTCGTACAAGTTTTAAACAAAATGTCGCAGGTCTAGTATCGTCTAGCTCTATAACTTTGACTCGGGCACCAGAAGCGCGAGTCTCTCTTTCAACGCCGTCTCGGCCTCCTTCTCAATTCTGTGAACAAGGACATCGCATGTAGGGATATCATGAATCAGACCGATAACCTGGCCGGTTGTCCAAACCTGAGAACTGTGTTAGTCATTGCATCCTCAACTCAACTCAACCCAATGTATAAACTTACGCCGTATTCAGTGTCGCCGTTCACAAAGACCTCCTTTCCTCGCTTACCGCTCACAAACGGCGCGATCTCGGCGAACTCGCCCTTCTCACTCTTCTTCTCGACCTCGAGAGCCTCCAGGGCAACCTTGTTCTTGAAGAGTCGAGTAGTGTTTCTCCATCTGCGCATGAGGAGGGTTGTGTCGGTCTCGTCGGCGCGCACAATCTCCTCCTTGACCTTCTGGTGCACTGGAGCCTCGACAGTGCACATGAATCGCGTTCCCATGTTTACTCCAGAAGCGCCGAGGCACAGCGCGGCAGCGAGTCCGTAACCATCAGCGAAGCCACCGCTGGCGATGAAGGGGACACCGAGAGTTTGACGGGCCTTGCTGAGCAGGATAAAGTTTGTAATGTCGCTCTCGCCGACGTGTCCACCGCACTCAAAACCGTCGATACTGAGGAAGTCGACGCCAAGCTTGACGGCGCTCTGAGCATGGCGAATCGTGGTGCACTTGTGGAGGACAATGGTGCCGGCCTTCTTCAATTGCGAGATGACAGGCCCGGGAGAGTTTCCTGCGGTCTCGACGACCTTGATGCCCTCGTCGATGATGGCCTGAGCGTATGCGGCGTAGTTCGGGGGCACCATGGCGGGAAGAAGGGTGATGTTGACACCGAAGGGGTTCTTGGTGAGGGTGCGGCAGCGTTGGATCTCCTTGCGCAGTTCCTCGGGGGTGGGGAAGATGAGGGCGGTGATGATACCCAGGCCACCGGCGTTGGAGACGGCAGAGGCGAGGTCGGCGGTGCCTACGTGCATCATGCCGCCTTGGACGACGGGCACTTGAGATTGTTAGTATGAGAGTCGAGTCGAGTCGAGGAGGTGGGAATGGGTGTACAAACCTCTGATGCCGAGTCGTTTGGTGAGTTCTGTCGCAAAAGGCATGGCTGGTAGTTCTTGGTGAAGAGATGACTAGAGATGAAGAGAATGAAGAGAATGCGTCTATGTTATAGTGTCTATGTCTATAATATATTATCGAGCTCACCTCAGAAAGAAAGAAAATGGCCCGAGGCTTTGTAGGTGAGTGAGTGACCATTCTCGGTCGGTTTGTTCCCTTGGAAAAGGTGCCGAGGTATGATGCACCGTCGGTCTCCACTAATTTCCCCACGCTCTTTGACTCTTTAACTCTTTTGATTCTTTCGTCTCTTTCGTCTCTTGACTCGGAGGACTCGGCTCGGCCCCGGCCCCTCCTTTTTCCCCCCCTTCTTCGCATGTGGATGTGGATCTTGCATTTACTTCAATCCAAAAGATGGATCTTGCATCTAAATATGTATGCCATTTTGCGGGGAATAGTCACAACCGTTGCAGACTAATCTTGGAGAAATTCAACATCCATCTACTAACTAAACAGGCTCCCCGTCTTTCAATCTCGTCATAAATACCTTAGCTAGCATGCAGTGATCTCTGTGCAAGATTCACATTCACATAATAAAAGACTCTCTTCTTATAAGTGATCACTACTGTAGCTGGCATTGAAGCCACTAGACCCTCCCTCTTCTGCCCTTCATATCAAACGCCAACTTGATCAAAATATGCCTTTCCAATCAATCGACACAATATATCATCCATAAAACGCCGTTTGTATACAATAACCCATATCGTAGACCATCATGATATCCCTCGTTTTCCCAGCCAG